TCCAAGAACATCTGGAGGCCCAAGGTTGGGGACCTCGAAGAAGGGAATGGGGAATTACTTCTGAGTACTCCCGAGGTAGGAAACCCTGAAAAGGGTGATCAGTCAGAATCAACGTGATGGCACATGATGATGATGATGATGATTAGCAGGGTGTGGGGCAGGTGTGCCCACTGGAGAAGGCTTCAGTCGGCATTGTTTTCTGCCTGCCTTGTTGCTTTTTTTATTTTCCGGGAGTGGAGGCGCATTTTCCTCCGCCACTTATATTGCACATTCAAACCCAAAAGCCCAGCTATCAGAGGCAGAAATGAGGGTACAGAGCACGGCCCGCATCCATCAGCTGCCCAATAAGCCTGTTTCCCTAGGCTGTCATTTTAGAGTTTGCCACCTTCCTTTCCTCTTTCTCTAACAAACACCTCTTTAGCTCCAACGGGAACCGAGAGGTGAACCGAGAGCTCTCCACACGTTTGGGATTCTGGCAGGGGTCATCTGTAAGAGATGGATTTGCTGAGCTGGGTTTGCAAAGTTCTTAAGATCCGGGGAAAGATGCTGCTGTTGCTCAGTGGTGGATTCGAGGTCCTGCCTTTTGAAGGGCCAGCAGGAGAAGCCCGTCTGCCCCTTGTCCCCCTTCCTCTAACTGGGTGCTGGAAACTGTTGTGTTAATCTTGGCTTCTTTCACTTTCATTGTTGGCGGAGTTGCCTTCCTCTTATTTGTTTTAAAAGCCACCTTTCTCCCAGTAAGGGAGACCCGAGGCAGCTCACAGTACTAAGAAAAAGAACAAAATAAAAAGCATACTAAGTCCAACATTTAAAAAAAACATTATTTAAAAACAATTGAATCATTAAAAGCAAGGAAACCTTTTAAAATAATCTTAACTTTAAAAAGGCATTGAGGGACTCAATGTCAAAAGCCTGCCTGCAAAGGAGGGTCTTTAACTTTCGATGGAAGGATAAAGGGGAGGGCGGCCAGGCTGATCTCCTGAGAGAGAGCCTTCCAAACCGGGGAACTGCCCCAGAGAAGGCCGTCTCCCCGTGTCCCCATCAGCCGTGCCTGCACTGCCCTTGGGACTGAGAGGAGGGCCTCCTCTGCGGATCTTAATGGCTGAGATGGTTTCTGTGGGGCGATACGGTCCTTCCCGTAGCCTGGCCTCAAGCTTTATGGGACTTTATAGGTACAGTGGTCCCTCGCTTAACAATTGCCTCACTTAACGAGGAAATCGCTGTACGATTGGGTTTTTGTAATCACAAAACAATGGTTTAATTGGGGTTTTTCCGCTTTGCGATGATTGGTTTCCTGCTTCAGGAACCGATTTTCGCTTTACGACAATCAGCAAACAGCTGATTGTCGGGTTTCAAAAATGGCCGCTGGCTGAAGAAAATGCCCCCCCGCTGTTTTTAGGAAGGCTTTTTCGCTTAACAGGTGCCAGAAAATGGCCGCTGTATGGAGGATCTTCCCTGGACGAGCAAGTATTCAGCCCATTGGAATGCATTGAACGGTTTTCAATGCGTTTCAATGGGTTTTTTTATTTCGTTTGACGACGTTTTCGCTCTACAGCGATTTCACTGGAACGAATTAACGTCGCCAAGCGAGGCACCACTGTAATGAGTAGCACTTTGAATTGGGCCTGGAAACAGACTGGTAGCCAACACTCTTGTTGTAACAGGCGCATTATATACTCCCTATAGCTGACCCCGGACAGTAGTCTGGCATTTTGAACCAGCATTTTGAACCAGCTGCAATTTCCGCCCCGTCCTCAAAGGCAGCCGCCCCAGTGGATCCTCTTGCAGCGACCCAAGGGAGACGGGACGGAGGCCTGTCCTCCTGAAGCCAAGTCTTGCGTCTCAAGGAACAGGCTCTTCTCTCCCGAGAGCAGGTGTGTGAGAGACTGCGAAGGGTGAATTCATACAGACTGAAGACGACTGGATTTTTCTCCTGGCGGGGTGGTTTCCAGAGATGAAGCTGCCTTCGCCCGGTTCGTTCAGGACGAACCGTCTCCCGGAGTGGGGCTCTAAATCAAGAGAGCCTGTGTCACAGTCAAAGCGGTTCTTTTCCCCTTTAGGGGTAAGTTTGGTTGTGACCTGGACCGGAGGGATCCGCTCAATAAAGCTACTGTACATGCCTGGGAATTTGGGACCGATTTTCCCAGCTCTTAGCCTGACACTTCCGCTGTAGTGCAAACCGTGAGGTCTCCTCCAATTCAAAGACTCTCAAAACTCTCCCGCTGGCCTTAGCCACTCTGCTTTTATTTTTAGTCTCACCTTCTCCGCCAGCGCCGTGGAAGTTTTGGATCGTGCCTAGTGAGAATGGTTGTGATGATCGTGGAAGGCAATGCGTGCAAAACCTTTTGAAAGTCTCTAAAGCAGGGGTTTCCAAGCTTGGATCCTTAGGTGTTCTTGGACTACAACTCCCAGAAATCCTGGCCAGGCCAGCGAGAAATGAAAAAGGCTTCTGGGAGTTGTAGTCCAAGAACATCTGGGGACCCAAGCGTGGGTCCTGACGCGTTAAACAGAGCAAAAGCAGCCGCCACCAAATGAAATAGCAAGTACTGTATTCCAATCTCACCAACCTCCTCGTTTTCTTCTTTGTAGGCCAGTGTTTTCCTAAAAGCAGGACGCTGGGCTCCCCGGAAGCCATCTGGACATGACTTTAGCTGTTCCTTATTTCATCTGCCGCTGTTGCAAACAGTGTCCGAGTGCCAGATACCGTCACCGAGCATTTTCAACCACCCCGTACACTTGGTGAGTGCTCTCCTTGGGGCTTATTTAAGATGTCAGGGGGGTCAGAAGAAGGAGCTACGGAGCCATGAAACGGGACTAGAGCCTAGTATTGCCACTTGTGGCTTGTACAGCTTCCTGAACCCTAGATCTGTCTTGGGCTTTAGAAAAGGGATAAGTACCATCTCAGAACTGCAGAGCTAGAAGGGACCTTATGTGTCATCAGGTCCCGTCCCTATCCAGGAGGCTCAGTGGGGGAATCGAACTCCCGGCCTCTCGCTCTGGAGCCAGAGACCCAAACCACCAAGCTATCCAGATTAAGTATGTTTGTGCAACATTGCATCTTAAGGCATAGTCGCTGTCTGGGCCTGGCACAATAGCTAGGAATGTATCTGCATTTATTATTATGCCTTTATTGCAATTGCGATCGCAAAACAATGTTTTAAATGGGTTTTTTTTTTTGCTTTGCAAAGATCGGTTCCCTGTTTCGGGAACCGATTCTTCGCATTACGACAATCAAAACAGCTGATTGTCGGGTTTTCAAAATGGCCATCGGGTGCTCAAAATGGCTCCCCACTGTGTTTTTGGACGGATTCCTTCTCTTCAGGCACCGAAAATGGCTGCCCCTATGGAGGATCTTCGCTCGACGGTGAGTTTTTCAGCCCATTAGAACGCATTATGCGTTTCAATGGGCTTTTTTATTTCGCTTTACGATGTTTCCGCTCTACAGCGATTTTACTGGAATGAATTAACGTCGTTAAGCGAGGCACCACTGTATTTTCAGTTACATGCCATTCGTCTGTCTGAACACACCCAGAACGGAACCCACACAATAGAGACGGTCCTTATTCCATAGTGCGGCAGTCAAGTAATAAATAATAAAAATGCAAATAAAATTTTAACAGCAACCTGGCGCCCACCACACAATTTATTCTGGTGTCCATTACCATTTCAGTGGCCAAGCAGCCATTTCTTAACATCCAGGGGCCCGCTGAAGCCATCCTACCTTACCTGTGTATAGTACCATCTAGGCCAGCGATGGCGAACCTGTGGCATGCGTGCCGCAGCGGGCACACAGAACCCTTTCTGCGGGCATGCGAGCCATAAGTCGCCAGATTGCTATTCCCCCCCCCCCTTGCAGCCAAAGCTGAGGAGGGGGCTGCTGCCATGGTATTAGCGCTTCGACAGGGCAGCGGGCCAGGATCCGGAGCAGCTGGTGCGGGCGGTGAATCTGGAATGGGGTCTCGAGGCACCTCCGTGCCCGGGATTCCCCCTTTCTCCACCACTTCCGGTTCTGCCACTGTCTGCTGTTTTGTTTTGTTTTCCCCCAGTTTGGGCACTTGGGCCCAACAAGGTTTGCCGCCACGGATCTAGGCCGCACAGTTCTGTCTAATGAATGCTGCTTTAACGGTCAAGGCATCCTGGGCTTTGTAGTTTGAAGAGGGACTTAGAATTCATCACTATAGAACCGTTGCGGATGCCCTAGACACGACAGCAGAGGATTTTAATCCTCGTCATCATCAGCTTAGAACTGCAAGAACAATACACCAAACTACAAATCCTGTAGGATGAAGACGGTGACAACACAGTCAAACTGTGACAACTGCTTATTCTGGATATACAGTAAGACCCTGGATCTGTGCAATCAGTGTCCTCTGATTCACTTATCCACGGTCTGAAAATATTACAAATGTCAAAAGAAAAATCTCCCCCCCAAAATATATATTTTTAACGATGAAGGCTTTCGAACTGGCCACTAGAGGGAGCCAGAGACCATGCTATGGAGCGCTTTTGCTATTAAGATAGTATTCCGTGTTTTTTCAGCATCCGTGGAAAGGGTGTGTGTGTCTTGGAACCAATCACCCACAGATATGGGGTGTGTGTGTATGTGTGTCCTACTGTATAGCGTTCTCTATAACCCATGTTTTTCAACTGACTTTCCAGGGTACTGGGAGTAGCTGAAAAACAGGATTTGGGTATAGATGCTCGGGGTGGGCTCCTAGTCTCCCCCCACCCCTGCTGTAAGTTCTCCCATCTTGTTTTCCCAGGGTCCTAAGACTGTGTCCCCCCCATCCTGGCTTGTCTTCAGCTGCAGCGAAGGCTGTGGAGCATGACATGGCTCATTCAGAGGAGCGGCACCTGTTTCCACTTTCCCCCAGAAATATATTCTGCTTGCGTTTGCGGGATGTATTCCCCAAACAGGAGTGAAGTGCAGGAAAGTGGGGGTGGGGGTGGGGAAGGAGGAAAAACCTGTCTTCTTCCCCACCCGGTTCCTCCATTCAGAGTGTTTCTGACAATAGAGGCAGACTCTGGTTAGTGATTTTTCGGGGACGTTACACGCACAGCTGGTGGATGCTATGCCTGCACCTTTCAGCCCCGCTCCTCCTCTTGAGTTTGCAACAAGCCTCCCGTTCCTTTAGTTTTAGAGGAAGAGAGATGTGTTCTCACACACATGGCTTAGCCAGCATTCTAGATATTTGGGGTTTTTATTTCTGCATCTTGTCTAGCAGGAGGCAAGAATGGAACAACCATCCTGCGTGGCATCTCTCGTTCTTGAGTCAGTCACTCTCCCGGGCTCCTTCCCTCCCCCCCCCCCCCCCCCCAATTTATCTCTCAGGGCATATGGACTGCAAATTACTCAGAATGGCACCTCAAATTTGGTATGTGGGAATTGACCAGAATTGTTGTCCCAAACTGGCCGGTCGGGTGTCTGTAAGAAGCTTGCTCAGCCCTCTTGTTGTTTTATTTGCTACTTTTATCCTGCTTTGTATCTCTCAGAGGATGCTAAAGCTGCTTACAGAGAGTCATCAGAGCTCGCTGAAAGTTAGTACAGGAGCATAAATTGTATTGTGTCTGTAAAAACGGCCGAGGGTGGTCCTACTTGCCTTCTCTCTTTTTTCTCCAACCTACAAGAATGGCTAGTGATTGACCTTCCCCTGTTATTTATCCTCTTTGTCTCTGACTCAGGTAGACTGCCCCTGTATATAGAGGATTGTATGTGTATCACATATCTGCACGCCTTAAGTAACCACATCGCTGTAGAGTGGGCTGCTGGCCTCAAGGTGACTTAAGTTTAAAAGTCCCATGAGTACTCTTTAAGCCAGCCAGCTCCAGCTGTTGGAGCCAGTTGCCCGGAACGATGGTACTTGTAGTCCAAAACATCTGAAGGTCATTGGGCTGGAGAAGGCCTCTTAATCCATCACATATATGCCAGGGTAAAGAGTGTTTGGCCCTCCAGGTATTTTTAACTCACGGGAGCCCTCCTTAGCATCGTTGGTGGTAAAGGTTTATTGGAATTGTAGGCCAAAATCTCTGCAGAGCCAAAAATCCCCTACTTCTGAAAATACAAGAAAATTAAAGAGTGGGTAATGCATGTCAATGCACTTGCAGTGGGTGAAAAAATTACTCAAAACTCAACTCTTGTGTTCGCTTTCTTGTTTTAAATCTAAGTTGCAACAGTGTTGAGTTCTTCGGGAAACAAGAATATCAAGTTAAATTCCTGTTTATTGTTTATAAATGTTTGTTACAGGAATTTTTACAGTATGTATTCAATGCGATGCTCAGTGTGGTATAAATAGATAGAGTGACGGACTAGGTCTCAGGAGTCCTGGGTTCAAATCCTCGCTCTGCCATGGCAGTTCACTGGGGGCTCGGAACTGGCAAAACGACTCCTCAACATCTCACCTTCCTTGAAAGCCCTATTAGGGTCCCTATAAGTCGGTTCCGACTTGACAGCCCTCGACAGCAACATTCAGTGTACATCTTAGCTAGCCATGCTCATGCACCATAGTAAACCAGAATAGGGACAGATGAAGACAAAATCATCGGGTGTGGGGCTAGGAGAGATTGTGAGTCACCAAGCAAAGCCTACACTTGCAATGCAGAACGTCCCTGTTGTCCCCCCCCAGTCTCCAGCCTGAAGCCTTGGAGAGCTGTAGTTCCAAGAATTCACAGTACAGTATTAGGGTAGGTGGACTAGTGGTTTGATACAATGCAGAATAAGTTTCTCGTCCACAGTTTCCCGCTTTGCTTCTTCCCAATGGTGCAGCTGCTAAACTAAGCAGGAAAGCATGTGACCCATATTGGGGGGTTCCTAGCTAGTTGCTTTCAAATGTCAGAAATTGTGAGTGGCGCCGAGAGTGAGAGAGAGGTTTGTGATTTTCACTTAAGAAGGGAAAAGTCTGTCTCTGCTCAGCATCAGAGGGCAGAAGCAAGCTTGATGTGTGATAAATTTCCATGAGGGTATGTTTGGGTTGAATATCCAAAGAATTTTCTTGAATAATATAAACAGTTAAGTGGCAGATCCATTTATCCAGCGGGTTAGTTAGGGTCTCTCCACCCCAATGATTTTAATTTTTTTCCTGTTTTCCACGGTATTAGCTTTTCCACCCAATTTTGTGTCATCCACAAATTTGATTAGCATTCCCTCCACCCCCTGATCCAGGTCATTAATAAAAATCTTGAAGAGCACACAGCCCAAGACTGAGCCCTGGGGTAAACCATTTGCTGTTTCCACCCTCTTTGAATTATCAACCTCTGAATACACTCTGGAGCCAACTGTTTGTTTGTTTGTTTGTTTGTTTATTGGGCTTATGTTGCCCATTTAGACATAGTTTACTCTGGACGGCTCACAAAACGCAGAATAAAAACAATAAATATGAAATTACAATTTACAACATTTACACAAAACAAAGTATCCTATTTGCTGGCATATGAGTGGAAATGTTGGGGTCGTCTTATACGCCCAGTCGTCTTATATGCCGGAAAATACGGTAGATAAAGATAGAGAAAAAGAGAAAGTTACGTAGTGGCTGGAAGGAAGGCCTGTCTACATAACCAGGTCTTGAGTTGGTTTTTAAAAGTGCCCAGCGAGGACGAACCCTTAAAATCAAAGGGTTGGACTTGATGACCTTCAAGGATCCCTTGCCAGCCTCGTGCCAGAGTAACGACAGTTGTACCTGCTTCTTTATAGGTCACAAGCCAGGAACAGCAGCTACTATGACTTGCTGGGGATCAAGAAGGATGCTACCCAAGAGGAGATTAAGCGGGCCTTCTTCTGCAAGTCCAAGAAGGTACGTTACAGTGTTGGGTTGGGGTGGGGGGAGCATTCACCTGAGCCAAGGCTAAGGTAGGAATACCTGTAAAAGGAAATGGCAACCCCTGTAGGTGAGGAGGAGAGCAAACACAGGGATAAGTGGATCGGCACGCAATGTTGCCAAGGGTTTCTGCCTGCAGCTGCATCCTCGTGAAGGGGTTTCTGCCTGCAGCTGCATCCTCGTGAGCCCTAAGAGTACAGTATTTTTTCTGTGTATAAGACGCCCCCCCACTTTTCTAATCCAAAATTAAGAAATCTAAGTGGGACTTGGCAAGTGTAGGGGGAAAGGGATCAAAGCACTGCAGGATCGCTTTGATCCCTGCTTTCCCTTCCATTTGTTTTTGTATTCTCCTCACCTTCCTTCTGTGTATAAGACGACCCTCAATTTTCAGTCTAAAGCTTTTAGACAAAAGTATAGTCTTATACACGGAAAAATATGGTAACGACATCTGACCGGAAATCCAGAACCCCCATTGACTGTAAAAACAAATAGTTTGAGGTGGCCACAGCTAAAGCCAAATTTCAAAGAGCCAGCTTAGGGAAAGCGGACTCCAGGAAGCCCATCTTAAAAAGTGGACAGGATCCTCCGGGAGAGCAGATGATCACTTGCCTGTTATGAGACTTCAAGGATTAAAACCATCGCTTCAGATGGAACTTGGAAAGAGAAAAGCAGCCACAGGGACACTCAAAATATATATTCCACTCTCTGAGTAACAGATACTAATCTGGTCCATAGTTTAATTCCTAGATAAAATGCCGGACTGTCAGGTGGAAAGATGGCATTCATAAAAATTGCAGCGGAAAGGGCTATTTTGAGATCTTGCACACTTAGAGACAGGACAGACTGCCTGGCTCCTCTTTGATATTATAAGTCCTCGGCAGATATGCCTCGAGTCCCGTAGCTTTGGGTGGCTTCCCAGAATGAGCCCTCTGAAATGGTCCTCAGTTTCCCATCCATCACTCCTGGTCCCCTTCTTCTCCGATCACCGCAGATTGCAGTCCCAAGTTTTGAACCATGCGGGGTTGGGGAAAACAATTTGGGGCAGAGACTCTGGAAGGACGACGAAGACTCGACATCGGCCCCCGTGGCTGCCTCTTGTTGCAAGAAATAGAAGAGGTAAATCGCAAGGCGCTAGTCCTCCGTTGTCTCCCAACCCAGCAAATCCACATCCTTGGAATAAGGATTGTTAACACCCTGCCTCTGATTCCTGCCCCCTCCCCTGGCACTTTTCCCTTATCTCATGCTAGGAACAAAGGCACCTCGGGCGTTTGCAGCTGAGACACCAACATAAGGTAAATGTTCCCCTTGACATTGAGTCCAGTCGTGTCCAACTCTAGGGCATGATGCTCATCCCCGTCTCCAAGCCGTATAGCCAGCATTTGTCCATAGACAGTTTCCGTGGTCACGTGGCCAGCGCGGCTATACACGGAACACGATTTACCTTCCCACCGAGGTGGTACCTATTTATCTACTCACATTTGCATGCTTTCGAACTACTAGCTTGGCAGGAGCTGGGACAAGCGACGGGAGCTCCCTCCGTCGCGTGGATTCGATCTTACGACTGCAGGTCTTCTGACCTTGCAGCACAGAGGCTTCTGCCGTTTAACCCGCAGCGCCACCCACGTCCCTTTTAATTCCTACGGCCTCTCCTGTTGTTCAAACTCCAGCACAGAGCAGGGGCTTGATCTAGTACAAACCTTTTCCCGCTCAAGCCCTCCCTTCACCTCCGGGATGAGCTTTCCCCAGACAGATCGGAGAGGAGCTGATACAATAGTGGGCCAGGAATGTTGGGGGGGGGAAGGAGGAGGAAACGTTGGACAGGAGGAGGGCAATGAAGTTTTGGGCGTGTTTGTACCAAGGGACCCATCCGAGCCAAACTGAATTTATCCCTGGCATCCTGGAGAGTTTTCTTCTTCCTTTTTTCTCCTGAAGAGGGCAGTGTTGGGCCAACAGAGTGCAGGATGGCCTTCCCTATGGAAAACGGGGTGGTGGCTGTGCTCATTTGAAACACCACTCCCACCCACCCCACCTCTGTTTGGTTTAGATTTTCACGCCTTCATGTATCGGAGATGGGGCAGGGGCATTCGTTCGATCTCATCAAACACCTAGGAATGTTATTGCTAGAATTATGATGTGGCCAAAATCATAGAGTTGAGTGGGAACCTCAAAGATCATCTAGTATAACCCCCCATTGTTCTCCCAGTGCTTGACTTCTGTAGTCATGAAGTTGTCTTGTGTTCAAAGTGTCCAAAGCTGGCTAATGTTATTCACTGTTTTCTGAAACCTGTCTAGTTTGGGAGCAATTAACCCAGAGCCATTGGTTCTGGCTGCAGAGTTAGAGGTTGGGAGTTTGATTCACTCACTGGGCCTCTTGAGAGGAGAGCCAGCCTGGGTGGCCTTGGGCAAGCTGCACAGTCCCAGGGCTCCCCCTAGAGGACGGAAAAGGTAAAGCACTTCTGAGTACTCTCTACCCGGAAAACCCTGAAAAAAGGTCACCATCCGTCAGAATTGACTCCACGGCACATCATTTTTATTACGGGTTCTGGTAGTGTGGTTTCTTGGTTTATTGACTTGGTTCCAAAGATGGAGAAGCAAAACCTCTTCCTGGTTTAATAAGCAGGGAGCCGTGGGCTTATACACAGCGATGTGCGGATGCGGCCAGAGAGGGGAAACGATTTATATCAAGCAGTTAGAAATGTCTCGCAGCCTTTCACCGTAGAGGCCGCTTTGGCTGCTGTTCAAGGCACCATGCTGGGGGGAAAAAAAGAATGAAGTTCTGAGGCTTGACAAGCAGCGCTGGAGCAAATTCAGGCACAGCAGGGTCAAAAGCTCGGAGTCTTTTGCTTCAACGGGAGAATGACATCATCTGGGACCTCTCCGTTCCCTCTGAATGAAGCCCGCATCCCCCATGGCAGCCAGGGTAGGAATATGGGCTGGAGATATATTTCCACAGCAAGACAGTATCATTGGAAGCTGTTGCCGTGCAGTCATTGAAGGATGGCTTGATCTTGAATGGACAGTTAAGGCCTATTAACTGTACAAAAGATCCGTCTCGGGTGGAGATGAGAAAGGCAAGAACTGGTTGGTTGCTATGGATGAACACAGAATCCTTGCATTTTTTGATTTCTCTGAGGCTGTGATGCACAACTGTCATGTCAACATCTAGCGCTATGTCACTCCTGATCGTCTGCTCTTTGTTTTTGTCCAGCTGAAATGAGAGGGTGTTCTAGCATCACGCTACAGATCATCCTTTGGAGTGAAGGAGACGCTTGCAGTGCAGGTAGTCGGTGAATTCCATAGAGGTGTTGGAAACTTCTAGGGCAGGAGTTGCCAGTCTTGGCCCCCCAGGTGTTTTTGATCTAAAACTCCCAGAAGCCTTTTCAACTCTAGCTGTGCTGGCCAGGATTTCTGGGAACACCTGGGGGCCCAAGATTGGGAACCACTATTCTAGGGTATCTAAAACTTCACTCTTGTTCCAGGCCCTTAGGTTGTTCTGTGAAGGGTGTCCTTTCTTCATTCAGGAAGATTCATAGAAACCTAGAATACTGGAGTTGGAAGGGCCCTATATGGATTCAAGGCAGGAATCCAAATCAAAGCCCATCTGGCAGATGGTTCTCTAATTTCCTCTCGAATTCCTCCAGCGTTGGAGCGCTCAACACCTTCCAAAGTAATTAGTTCCATTGTCGTACTGCTCTAACAGTTGAGAAGTTTTTCTTGATATTCAGCCTAAATCTGGCTTCCTGTAGCTTGAGCCCATGATTATGTGTCCTGCACTCTGGGAAGATGGAGGACAGATCCTGCCCCTCTTCTGTAGGGCTGGCTCCCTTTCAAGTATCGTATCTCCCGTCCGTCGTCTTTTCTCAAGACCGAACAAGCCCAGTTCTTGCTGTCTTTCCACCTAGGGGCTTGATTCTTCATAGCTCCAAGGCAGAGCATTTGCTTTGCCTCTAGAAGGCCCCAGGTTCTGGCCCTGAAACTCTTGGCCGTTCCAGGCTACGTTGACCTGTATTGACGAATACAGTCGTGTCCCGCTGGACGATTACCCTGTTTAACGACGAATCTGCTTAACGTTGAAGTTTTAGCAATCGCAAAAGCGATTGCAAAACTATGTTTAGATTGGGTTTTTTCGCTTCACGTTGATGGGTTCCCTGTTTCGGGAACCAATTTTTCGCTTTACGACGATCAGCAAATAGCTGATCGTCAAGTTTCAAAATGGACGCCAGCTGTCAAAATGGTCCCCCGCTGTTTTCTAGGACTGATTCCTCGCTATACAGGCACTGAAAATGGCCACCATATGGAGGATCTTCACTGGACGAGCAGGTATTCAGCCCATTGGAATGCATTGAATGGTTTTCAGTGCATTTCAATGGGTTTTTAAATTTCGTTTGACGACGTTTTCGCTCTACAGCGATTTTGCTGGAACGAATTAACGTCATCAAGCGAGGCACCACTGTACGGTGTCCCCATCAGATATTTCTCCCAGCTTGTCCAAGCTGCGTCAAGAAGGAAACTGTCCCTGTTCAGTTCTGGGATGTGGGGGAGAGAGAGACAGAGAGAGGCTCCGTCAGACCCTTTTGATGTGGTTGCAAGATTTTTTGCAGACCCGCTGGGTCGTTCCTGCCTCCCACCCCTGCTGTTGTTGCTTTGCCTTCCAGAATGGATGAACTGGGGGACTCTTCCCTCTCCTGTCCAGAGTCTGCTTGGTTTCTGGGCAAGCGCTGCTGCTGCTGCTGAGCAGAAGGGTGGAGGCAGCCGGATTTCTGGGGCAAAGAGTTTGCAACCTCTTCTGCTCAAAACTAAATTTTGACATATTCTCTTTTTAACACTGGCATCTCCGGGTTGCAGAATCCTGAACATGCCAGTGTTAAAAAGAGAATACATCGAAACACTTCCAGGTCTTGGGACTGCAAAGCAATGGGGGTTCTAGTCTTTAGAGCTTCCCTCGTCGCTCAATTATATCATGCGAAATGAATGTC